TTTTGTCGTCCTTTCCTGGATGTTTTCAAGGGAATCTATACCCATTCTATGATACAGTAACCAAAACTGAACAGCATAATCCGGGTTAGGTCTCACTGATGTTAAATACTCCCGTTACTAACACTCCTAGATATAAACCCTTTAGTATTCTGTTAGCCTTATTAAGTTGGTTCTGTAGGTTTTAGATCCCAACTTATCATTACCTCTGAATCTTTCTCACAATCGGATTTTTCAATATCTACGTTATTCACCTGATAACTGTTTCCCATGTTTCCATTTCGTAGTCTTATAACTTTATAGTTTTTCTACTTTTAATTGTATTTGTCATTTTTCAGTCCATACTAAAAGTTTGTTTTGGTCTTCCTGTAATCCTTAAGTCTTCACCTCATAAATCATTTATCCTGTATTTGTTTCGCCACTATCTGGTCTACGCCTATGACCCTCTATTAGCCATGCCCTAATTCAATTTACTCTGAATTTAGAATTTTTTTTGACGCCATGTGCTCCAACTTACCGTATTAATCTTTCGTGCGGGACGCCATCAAAAGGTTTGTTCAAGTCGCCCCTCGCCACCTGGCCTTGACCTCCTGTTCTCAGTAGTGTGGTTTAGACTTTAGAGCGTCAGCGGGGTCCAGAGGGTCTGGGTATCAACAATAAACAACCTCCCACCCTCCGCCTACCATCATGTTAGTGAACACAAACGACTGTAACCTAAACTACCCTGCGTGTTTCTTTCTTTGTTACTGTATATATATGCATTTCCCCGAGTGTGCACAATTGTGCAAGTGTTCATAAAATAAAATAAAATAATCATAATAATAATAATAATTGTTAACGGTTTATTAAAAAATACCCTTTGGTGTAAAGACGTACGTCTGGGTAGTTCAGTATGTGTCTGTGTAAGTTGGGAGGGTGACACTTCAGTAACACATATTATAAACCAAACTCAATTCAGCGTGTATTTAACCCCTTGTTTACATTAAGATAATATCAGTGGTCAGTTAACAAGACAAACCTCTCTAGTGTCCTGAATATATGACACATTAAAACCTGGCCAGTGTTGTTATCACATTCGAACGTCTTGACGTGACCACACAGCTCATCTCTCTTTTCATACTGCCAACCTCTCTAGTGCTGTGAGCGCCACACACAACAGTCTTTATAAGCTCTTCCAGCTTCTGTTATTTGAAGGACATATATGCAATCATATATACATCTTTGGATACATAAATAGATTGTAACATTCCTATTATATTCCTCCTGTCAGTACACTGCATGTGGACTACCAGCCCTGGAGATCCTATGTCTGGTATGTACGGAGCTAAGGGCAACTGGGTAGGACGAAAATTTTATGAAATCCCAGATACTATGAGTGAGCGATGTGCAGTGGTCAGCGGTGACCAACCTGGAGCTATGTTCCTTCACCCACGTGAGGCCTCGATAACCCTACAAGTTTCACTAAATCCACTACCGTCACTAGTATCAACCAGCCTCACAGTTTGACGACTTTATTCAAGGAATTTGAAGGTGCTCAAAAAAGCAGGCAGGTGTGGCAGCTATAACTGAAAATTGGTTATGTGACTTATGTCACCAAACCAGCACACTTCCTAACATGTGCACCAACACTCCCTCACACACACTAGCACTCCCCCCACACACTAGCACTCCCACCAACACACACACACACACACACACACACACACACATTCCCCATCTACACCCCAACACTTCACCCCCCCCCATCTACTGTACACACCAACACCCTCCCCACCTGTCTGCCGCTATCACAGCATTTATCTGCGTCACTCCCTCCGTAATCCGATGAACCACCGCACCGACCTGATTCAAATTAAATAAGACCGCTGGGTGAGGGAAGGGGCCGGTGGCACAGAGGAGAGACGCGAAGCCCTAGTTCCCCCTCTCAAATTTGGCCGAATCTCCTTTTCGTCAGGCTTTTTCTATCTTGTATTTTTTTTTCAATTTTGTTCAGTCTGACAAGAGGTGGTGACATTTTCCAGGGATAGGTTAGGTTAGGTTAGAAGAAATTAATAAAGAGTTCACATACCAGAATAAAAAATAAAAATAAAATTTCAGTATCGAAACATTCTTCTAGCAATATTATGACGCCTTAGGACGTCTGTAACTCAAACACAACACTACTGAATTTCTATACAATATTCAGACTGCAATATCATCCTCTGTAATCACATAAATAACTAAATCTGACAAGGGTAATACCATACTTGATCACATTCGACATACGATACAATATATCTGCTGAATTACTGAATAATAATAATACTTGTAAGACCTTAAGCAAATATATCAGTCTACAATAATGTAAATCAGTGATGGTCGTCGCGTGTATGTACTGTTGTCATCATATATTGCGCTGGCTTAACAAGGAGCATGTGAAGATTAGATACCCCAACTTATTTTACCTGATTGGTTACACACCCTAAAGCTACCTAGGGAGTTAGATTAGGTGAGCATTTGGGTGTTTTTCATCAATGGGTAAATTAAACTGGTGTGCCTAATCTTCAAGTGTTTCCTTAAAATTAATGCAATTATTGGTACCATGACTCAGAGACAGGGCACTTAATACTGTACAATGGTTTGTTTAACAATGGCATGGGAAAAATTTTTCACTCTTCATTAAAAGATAAAAAATTGACAATAACATAATTGTAAAACCATGCCGATCCTTCCCTTACGAAGACAATGTGTACACTGTCATCAAATAGTGTTCAATCCGTCCATTACATTCGTCACCCCGCCCCCACTCTCTCTCTCTCCCGGGACCACAGAGGCACACTGCAACAGTTAACCCTCACCTCCCCACTCTGTTCCTGGATGGAGTCTTCATTACCTTTTCTTTACTATCAGGTAACTCTAAAATCGTCCATTTTCTTAGGTCTCCATTTCCTTTCAGTTTCTATTTCCAGTCAACGTTTCTTTAGTATTCTTTTCCGTTTCTATTTCCAATACTCTTAATTTTCTTTAGTTTACTTTTTTCTGGTCTCTAATCTTCCTCCACCACACACACACAAATACTCAGGCCTCTACTCACATCCCTGTCATAGATGATAATAATATAATAATATTCAGTCTTTAGGTGAACGATCTTTGCTCCTCCCTTTGTTGGTTTTGTCTAGTGATTTTTGAGTGTTCTGTGTTGGTGAATGAGAGAGAGAGAGAGAGAGAGAGAGAGAGAGAGAGAGAACAACTGTGTACGACTGTAATGACAAATTGAAGATATGTTTTACCGAAGGTGTCCGTAATCAATAGCCCACCAAGGTTCGTGCAGGGTCGCGCTGTGATGACCTTGACCTTTAAAAGCCTTGCGTTTTGGTTAGGGTTTAATTTTGACGGATAATTGAGCTTGGCGGGGGTGGCTATATCAATTATCTCGTCAAATTTGGTGAAAATCTCCACTCAGGTGTTTTTGGTATTTCCTCCTTACGACTTGGAATAAATAACACAGTTTTATATAAGCCTACGCCTGACAACACAACACCTTTGTCCTGACACCGTCTGCAGCAAAAATGTGAACTGAGACCCAGAGCATGTCAGAATATCGAGGCATCAAAAATTTGCATGTGGAACGAAGAGAAGGCGCCACAGGGACAGTATGTATATCTGTATATCGTAAACTGACACACTTCAGAGCATACGTAGAAGCACAAGGACACAACTTTGCCAATCTTTTTCTCTTTTTAATACAGCCATGTTTCTTTTGGGAGTTTCTGTACGCGCACACACACACACACACGCACACCTCAGCAACTTAATAGCACTTTGCCTGGATTCAGTAAGTGAATAGTGTGTTAATGTACCCCCAGGAGGATCAAGCAAGGGTTCCACACTCTTGTACAGTGCCAGGGTGGAAAGTGACGTACTGTATACCTTTGGTTAAAACAGGAAGATCTTCTCACAAAACATAGTTACACGGGTGAAAATGCCAGACTCGATTATTTTCAAGGAAGGTAACTGTCACCTTGAACTTCGACATTTTGTTCTTAAAAGCGTAACAGCAATAGAGAATGTCGCGGGTGTATTTACCCAGTATGAACGCTGTAAGTCTTTCAGTTCTCGAATTCTTTTGCAGACATACAAACATACATAACCACGTATGGAAGAAAAATATCAAAGCTGTTGTAGTAAAATTTTGACCCTACGAACGTTGCGAGTTGTCATGGTCAGAATTTATTACAAATAAGAACATTGTAACTCTTTTTATCCTTGAGCTAGTAGTCTAAATGTAACTATCTACTTTGTTTACCTTGTAGCCCCATATGTAGCAATGGCCTCGTCAGGTAAAGAACCCCCGAGGGTTAAATGTCCTCGACCATTATTCTAGAGCTGTCCATCGTTCTAGAATCTAGTATAAAGAGCAAAGATACAGACAACACTGTATCTATTACGCTTCACTACGTTGATAATCTTTCTAAAAGAGCTCGGGATTCAGACTATGATAACATTTATGTTTACACTACTTGGTGGGTTCATTAGCTATTTATATCTGTAGTCCTTCGCTTGTTCTAGCACCCTGATTTCTCGGGTGTTAGCGGTGTAAGTTGATCGCCAAAGAAAAAATAAAAATATTCACCCAAAGAAGAGTGAAGGCCATTTGAATATAAGTATGATTGTATTGACCTTGATTGTGTTATTTTGGTGCTATGTTTTCTCTCCAAGGGATCAATCTGAGTGGTTTATTCGGTGACAATTCCTCGTCAGTCGCCACCTAACTTGAAATTAGCATTATTGGTCAACTCCCTTTTATTTAATTTTCAGTTCACTGTTGATAATTTCCATAGGCATAGTTTTAGAATAAAAAGTAGCAAAATAGCAACACTCAGCCGACACAGTGAACAAGACATCGACAAAGCAGATATGTCACCTATATTTTATATTAGCCCTAGATAGGTAATGGTATAAATGTGTCTACACCTAAAGTAATAGGGGTCCCACAGACCCAAGAGGAAAAAAATCATAAAAAATCAGGAAGTTACATTTAATGAAATTTAAAGGCATATACAAACATTTAAAGGTCTTAGCCAGGCTTCTGACTGAAAAAAAAATAGCTGAGTATATGAAAACATAGATTGATTGTTTTTACCATTTTACACTTATGTTCATATAAAACAAAACAAAAATCTGCGAGGTACAACGAATTTTCCTTGTCTGGCCCTGAGAGAAGAAGGGTGGAGCACCATATATTGTCAATAACAGCCACCAGGCACCGCCAGAACACTGCAGGAAGTGGAAATGAAAATTAGCAATATTTTATGCGTTTTTTTTTACACGTTTCATATAGGGCACTTTGTAGTTCTTATATGGTTCATGTGTAATGATATATATGCATGAAATTACAGTTAAATTAAAATAAAATAAGTATAGGTTTGATGCATAAACGAATGATATTTACCTAGTTTTACTGGCACTCGTGCAGAGTAAGTAGGAGTGGCGTGCGCAGACGTTGCGTCTGCAGGAGATGCAGGTCTCTCTCCATAATATCTCATGGATTTCATCATTACTGACATTTTTCCGACACATTGGTCATAAAATTCTTAGAGAATATTTCTGAAAAGTATTTATAACCTGTAAAATGAAAATAAACGCTTATCTATGCACGTTTGAAGCAATGCACTATTTACTCTCTGAAAAAACGTCAATTAATTTGTTTGGTACTGTAAATCACTGTCTTTCCAACACATCGAAAATTACAAAAATCCCACTTGCCATCACGTGGTACCTGGAGGACCCTCAGATTCAGTATAGCGGGGTTCTGTGTTTCCTCAAACGAATGTCAATGACAATGAGTAAACACTAAAACACATACATATGCATTCCAACTACAACTGTTCACTGTATTTCACTTTGAACCATAATATTTCGTCTAAACAATGAGAGGGATCCGCAGATGTACTATGAGTTCCAGGTACATTTTATCTGTTTATGGCAAAGAGTGGCAGGTCCCTAATAATGTCAAATGCCAGGCCTGTGACTAGGAGGAGGGATATCTGGTCTGGGAGGGAAGAGGTGTTGGTAACGGCTGGGGACCTATAGGAGGAGGTCATAGGGCAAGTGAGGATGTAGTGAGAGAGGGTGTGAGAGTCGGGTTGGCCACAAAGTTTACAAACAGTGCGGTGAGGCTCAGGGTTGCCAATGTACTCCCATAGGTACCTGTACCCTAGGCGCAGTCTCATGTATATAAGCTGTTGAGATCGAGTCAGGGATTGATATTCTTTGTAGTGGCGGTTGTCGTCACCGGTTACAGCGTCATAGTGGCATAGTGTGATGCTACCCCGTTGTTTCAGGTGTGTCCAATTTTCGTTGAATGCCTCTCGTTGTGTGGCGTGTATGCGAGATTTGAGATGATTCAGGGAGAGGGCGAGAGTGGCTTCAATATCTTCTTCTTGTGTAGCTTCTTTGGCAAGCCGATCAACAGTGTCACAGGCAGTTATTCCTATATGTGACGGGATCCAAAGAAACTTGACACGGATGTCATCAGTTTGTTCTAGCCCGGCAACGGCGGCTAGGGTGTGTTGGGCGGCAGGGGAGGAGGGGGAGGGTAATTTGAGCCTCGCTAGCGCAGAAGTGCTGTCACTGATTATAAGGAGGTTCCGGCGTTCAGTGCGAGCATAGGTCGCCCCCTCATGAATGCCCGCGAGGATGGCTATGCTTTCAGCATCAGTGGAGGAGGCCCAGTTGTGGACCCTGATTTTCCTGCAGGCCTGGCGCCCAGGAATCCACGCAGCTGCCCCAGCGCTGCCCAGCGTGGTAACAGACCCATCACAGTAGACGAGGATAGGAGGGTGGGAGGTCTTTAGAGAGGAAGCGACATCATTAATCTGCTCAAGGCAGTTAAGTTTGAGCATATACCTCAGTTGGGTGGATTTACGACCAGGGAAGGTGTGGACGCCAACATCAACACACGGGAAAGTCCACGGCGGTAGAGGCGGATGAGTGTACTCGGGAGGGAGAGAGGTCGAGGGTGTGTAGAGGTGATAACGCAGGATGTCAGCAGCAGTGTGGACGGGCCAGAGTTGAGAGGGAGGGGGGAAAGTAATGGGGACAGGCCGGCGCAGGAGGGTGTTAAGATGTGAGTTCAGTGAGCGAGACAGGGAAGTCGGTTGCTCACTGCGAAGAAGTTTAACACCAAGGATTGGCATTGAGAGCAGTAATTCGATCGCAGACGGAAAGCAGGATTAGTTCGCGCTGCATGACTTCTATTCTGGTGGTCATAGGGCAGCCGAGGATGAGTCTCACCGCTCTGTTTTGGATTTTATGAGTACCATAAGGTGCCAATGAACCCCAGGGTCTCTGCTGTTAGGCCTTGGATGGGAAGCGACGCACAAAACACCTTCAGTCTGCGAGAGCATGAGGCAGACTGACTGCAGACCGGACCCCAAGTACCAAGCTCGCCCAGTAAATACATACGAGCACAAACAAGCGAAAGGCGTTTACTGTTAGGCGTTTTAGATGCACGGAATAGCTAACAGTTAGCTATTCCCGGACTGCCATTAAAAAATACGACATTGTACCACGTCTTGGGAATAACTGTTGTACAACACAATCTTCAGAAAGCAATAAAATTTGGAGAACTGTTATTTGGACACAATACGGAAAGAAATAGTGAAGAAAGTATATAGAAAATTGTGGAAAGAAAGAAAAAAAGGAAAAAGTCGATCAGTCAACAATAAATAAGAATAACACAAAAAATCAGGCGGGACTCTGAAACCACACAACAACCAGAGCAGCTGCTCGACAGACCACTATACTTCTTCTCTCGTAGCTCGGTGTTCACATATTTATACACGAAATACAACGAATTTCAGGTTCGTTTAAGTCCTAATTTTTGCACTTACAAAACTAAAGTCAACTTGTTCACCCTTATTTAAAGTATCTTGTGAGTAATGATATTAAGGTTTCAATCATATTTGGGTAATTATCAATAATGTTACACCAAAGTCACCAACAGCTAAAACGTTTTGTTGTAGGTCTTTTCCAATATACTACCACATAGATAAATATTGTTTTTATTATTTCAGTTTTTTATTGCCTTACATGCCCCCAACTTGAGTATTAATCAAAATATTCTCCAAAAGCGGCCACGATCAGCGTATTTACACACTGTTTTAGTGGGAGAAACTCGCTGATTGGTTGTTAGCTATTCCTGTTCTGCACATGCTAACGCCTGATCAAGGCTTTGCTTTTCACTCTCAATGTGTCATGGGCACAACCCAGCAAAAACGTCTGCACAGACAGAATACTATTCCGTGCATCTTAAACGCCTTAAATGCTGTTTGGCGTGGGGATTTTTGGACCCCACATTACCTATCTAGGATTAAACAAACCAGTTAAGCCGCAAGTCAAATTTTTCCAACTTTACAATTATGATGTAACTCTACAGATATATGGGAATTAAAATTATATCGTAAATTAAAAATGATAAAAATACTCTGCCGTTTACCCTATGTATACTCCCATAGTTATATTGTAGCCTCGGAATGTTTTGTGTAAATATCAAGTGTTAGGCTCAGGCTCTCATCACCCAAACCCAAAAGATCTTGACCTTGGCCAGAGTCAGCCAGGCCAGCTCAGGGCTCTGCGGTTAGACTCTTCACCAAATGAAAAGAAAATATCCTGAGTCCCCGTGAGAACTACTGAACATGAGAGGGAGATCCCCGCCCACTTGCTTAACTCTTGAGCAATTTTGACATTGCCAATTGGTAAGGCAAACTGGTATGGCGTCATAGAACTATTATAAGTCATTGGCTGAAGTGTTTACAGCAATTATTCACTTGTGGGTGGATCTTGTTTAGTTCCTTTATAAACCACTGTCTACTTGGGACAGCGGTATCATTCTGGGATTTCCAGACAGATTGTAGACAGAATAAGTTGAAATTCAGTTCACTTCCCTACCATACAACTAATCTAAGGATTTCACTAATGACTTAGTGATTTTTACTCATGACTGGTGGCGTAATGAGTAAAGTTTATACCACGTCTCTTAACCTGTGTTTATATGAACAAGTCTTATATCCTTGTTCTCTAGTCATGACCCCCTCTGCTTTCAGCCCCCCCCCCACCCCCGTGTTTATCCCGTCTCCTGCCTTCTCATCTCAGTGTGGTTATGTGATCAGCTGGTACGCCTCCCCCTCACTCCAACACCTCACAACACTCTCTCCTCCCTCACAGCACTCCCTCCTCCTTTAGAGCACGTTTTCTTCTCTTACAGCACTCCATCCTCCCTCATATCACTCCTTCCTCCCTCATTCATAATAAGTTTAATAACAGTACGATGATTTAGTAATTTGGAAGAATGAAGATAATGAGGATTAAGTGCAAGACCTAACTTTCGTGTTAGCTTATTCTGCCGCCAGTGACCCACCATCGCCAGGAATCTTGATTGAAATACTGGTATGCATTGTCCAATACCTCGGGAGGAAATATATATATATATATATATATATATATATATATATATATATATATATATATATATATATATATATATATATATATATATATATATATATATATATATATATATATATATATATATATAAATAATGAAAGTAATCCGGTGAAGTAAGGAAGTCAAGTTAAAATCATACACTAGTCGTCGACAATTAAAGATGAAAAGGGATACATTTCTCAGGTTAACCCTTTAGAGGGCAAGAGTCTCTCTCAACTGGATAAAATTGCCCGGCGTTAGCCAAAATAAAATACCTAAATGCGACAATGCCTTCTAATATTCCTGCTGCTATTAAATCACATGTCATAAAACATATAATTCTGTGTAATCCTAGTACAGTACGTACTTAGGCATATTTCCATATGAAGATGTGCCATGCAATACAGAGTATAGTTTTTCAAAGGGGGGTGTGCAGACCGAGGCTAGCCACTATCTTAAAACTAAAAACTAATCGTAAATTTAATTTCAATGTATCTGTTGCTCTGCAGAAATACTAATGGTACAGGTATATCCTTATTTATGGGCAAAATATTGTATCTAGGAAACATAAAATTATTTATTCACTAAGACATATGACGTGTGATTAGGTGTGGTTTACCCGCAAAAACCAGTTAATAAATGGCGACCAAATGCATCGAAAATGTGTCATAATTGTTTGTGACTAAACTGTCGTAGTAAAGGCGGGAATTTCATCGTAAGATTTGTTCATAAAAGCCCCTCTGCGATGCCGTTTAATTATCGATTTTTCTTCGTTTTTATCCAGCTTAAATGAACCACACATACATTTAACACTCCAGTTTGGGGTTAATTACAATGTACAAACCTTAAAGAATCCAGGCCACTATGTTCCTATAACTAGATTCCTTAGTCTTGATTCACAAAATAAAAACAAATTAATGTTTACGTAAAAATATGACTTTTGAACATAAAGATACGTAGAAATGCATTTTATAATAAGCATAAGAGAATATATGTCAGTTTAGCCCTAAAATAAGAAGTGGCTGCTGGTAACATCACGACTACTACGGTAAAGGCACGAAGACAGACACCCCATTATGCTTTGCGAGGCTTCACTTACAACTCCGTCACGTTAACGGGTGGGGTTGTCTTGTGCTGGCATTGAATGTTAACCTGTGTCTTGTCCCGATGATTTTATCCTTACGGTGACGACCAGGGAACCAGATTCTTAAGAGGTTCATTCCCTAAGTTTTCCACTAATGAGAAACGATAGCGTGCACTTGAATGGCCTAAGTAAGCAAAACAAACGTCGATGTTGCACCACGACTTTACCGACACCAGATGCGTTCTTTCTTGCATAGTGAGACAATTATAAGAGAAACTTTATCAGACTTTTACAATACACACGGCACTTGGCCTCTAGGACTCAAATTGTCGTATGATAAATATTCCTCGTATCAGTCAATGTAAGAAAGTATCTAACTGGTTGACTTCAGGTAAAATACAAAAATATCCTCCAAAAAGCTTATTTAAAGTTATACCAAGACTAGATTCACTTGGCATCAGTGAAGTGACCATATTAAAGAGTATTTTCGAAAGATTCCGTGTTAACTATCTAACTCTAAATAGACATATCTACTTAGAATATCGATATAATTTAGATAATTTTTAAGGTAAGGTTCTTTTGGACAGCCGAAGTCAATCATTTGGTGCTTTTTACATGTTCAGTAACGAGGAACAATCATCATACGAACCTTTGATAGTGAAGCACCAGCACGAGGGGAACAACAACACAATAGACTGTGATCCTTCACTCCAGTTGCCCACGGCACTGCTGGTGCTAATTGCCAGTTGCTCACAACACTGATGCAGTCATCACTATTACTAATGCTGATGCTATGTGGGAGAAGTTCTTGTTGTGGGGTACAGTGACACGCAGTAAGCAGTAGGAATACAATTAATATTTTGTTGACAGTGTTTGATTATCAATGATTTATGACATTAGAAAATATAAAATATGTTGTAGATACTGTAGTATGTATACAGCACAGCACCCTGAATTCAATTGTACTGAAAAAGGGCCTATTCTTAGTTTCCAGAGTCTGACCAAGGCTGAAATATTTAAAAAAAATAACATTGTAATTTCTATTAAATCATCTCTCAAAAAACTCCATATAAATACAGATGACTACCCAACATAGGTGCTGTTAAATCCTATATGATTTAATATCATTTAACAGCACCTATGTTGGGAAGTAATCTGTATTTATATGGAGTTTTTGAGGATAAGATTTAATAGAAATGACAATGTTTTGCTAAGGTCAATTCCCCAAGTTTGGAATACGTGGTCATGGTAGACCCACAAGTATTGACGAAAACAGCAGTAGCCAGTTAGCTATACTCGTGGCGTGACTTGATACAACGATTCTCAGGTTTTCTAAATGATTATCCTTGAGAAGAAATGTGGAGGTAGTCTTCAGCCCTGATGATGGCGACTCGGCCTCCTCCTCCGACATTCTTAACCTGCTTGGACCCGACGGTACCAACACCCTCACCTATACCCGGCTCTCTCAACCAGTCCTGTACCGACACCCTCACCTATACCCGGCTCTAAACCAGTCCTGTACCCGACACCTTCCACTGTATCCGGGTCTCTCAACCAGTCCTGTACCGACACCCTCACCTATACCCGGCTCTCAACCAGTCCTGTACTGACACCCTCCCATATACCCGGCTCTAAACCAGTCCTGTACCCGACACCTTCCACTGTATCCGGTCTCAACCAGTCCTGTACGACACCCTCCCCCCGTACCCGGCTCTTTCAGCCAGTCCTGTACCCGACACCTTCCCTGTATCCGGCTCTCAACCAGTCCTGTACCGACACCCTCCCATATACCCGGCTCTAAACCAGTCCTGTACCCGACACCTTCCACTGTATCCGGGTCTCACCCAGTCCTGTACCGACACCCTCCCCGTACCCGGCTCTTTCAGCCAGTCCTGTACCCGACACCTTCCCCTGTATCCGGCTCTCTCAAGCAATCCTGTACCGACACCCTCCCCCGTACCCGGCTCTTTCAGCCAGTCCTGTACCCGACACCTTCCCCTGTATCCGGCTCTCAACCAGTCCTGTACCGACACCCTCCCATATACCCGGCTCTAAACCAGTCCTGTACCCGACACCTTCCACTGTATCCGGGTCTCTCACCCAGTCCTGTACCGACACCCTCCCCCGTACCCGGCTCTTTCAGCCAGTCCTGTACCTGACACCTTCCCCTGTATCCGGCTCTCTCAAGCAATCCTGTACCGACACCCTCCCCCGTACCCGGCTCTAAACCAGTCTCACCAAGTTATATTCTGTCACCCGCCTGCAACTTAACCGGTTATATCCAGTTCTGGCAGAGTTGCCAAAGACAGTGGGAAGCCAGTCAAGTTATCCTAATACACGACCTCTGGACTATTTACTGTATGTGGTGTCGGCTTTTTCTTCCTATAATACTTTACAAGCGAAACGTTGTTGCTTCCGTGTTCTGGAAACATATAAACACAAGATCTATAAATTTATAAGTCTCAGTAACTTAGTCAAGAGTGGTCACTCTTCAAAATAGAAGAGTGGCGGCGGTTTGTGCAGTGTTTACAGGCTACCATAAACAAGAGAGCGTCTGGCCAGCTCGTATAACCATTCCCCCTCACCCTGCAAGCATGTACAATACAGAATTATATAAAGATTCACTTTGCTGAAGTGGATGATCTAATATTTTATATTTTATTTGGATGGTGAAGACCTTGTTTAAGTTACTCATAGAAAGTGGTTCTTAGAGAATGCATCTGATGAAAAAGGCTTTTCATAAATGTCACCAGTTTCGTAGTACCAGAAGTGAGTGAACTGCACTTCTGGGGCTTCAAGAAAGATAGCCGGCCACTGCATTAATGTGACATAACACAGTAAAGCTGACTGCCTACATTTTGATATAAAGGGCCAACTCAAGTTATGGTATATATTTCTTCCAACAACTGCACATAGTAAATAATGATATTATACTATGTAAGACAAATTATCACACACACACACACACACACACACACACACACACACACACACACACACACACACACACAGTATTCATCTTACAAGTAGCTCTTTAAAGTAACCCACTCCCACCTACTCAGATTCACACACTACCCGTTCACACCCGCCCATAACCCACATCCATCAACAACAACCCAATACAACGCTCTACCAACCGCTGTAGCACCATGCCAAGGGTCACCTATATACTGTCATTTTTCGGTCACGTTTCCAAGAGGATCACGCCCAGCAGCATGAACTAGCCACGTGATCCTGGCGTGGGCGTGGTCGTGTGGGTGAGGAGAGGACACCCTACAGCAGCAGCAGGGTCATGGCTGTGTGGTGATGCTGACATGACTCAGAGACACTGGGCTGTGGTCGAGGTGTCTGCTGCGTGTAGTGTTTAAGTATGTCTGGGGGAAGGAGGGGGGTGTGACCGTAAGGGTCTGTTCGTCTTGTGTTAGCCTACATACAGTGAGTGTTAACACGTGGGTAGTTTATTCGTGATGTATATGCTTATGTTCTATGTGTATAATTTTGTGTGTACTCCATTGATGTGTATATACTGAGATCCACATTTATGTGTAATGTGCATCAGCATACTTCAACAAGTCCTCAGGACCAAAGTATCCAAGATTTGCATTTTTGTATACGTCCACTGTCTATGTATACCGTATTATACTCCTGCATTGTCTATATACATGCTCAATTATTGTAAACTCGTATGACGAATTTACTGAATAAACGTGTCTATCAATCTATAGTATTTATCTTCCATAGCTCGTCGATAATAGAGGGGAAAGGTACTGATGGTCACCCAACTTTTTTTAAATCTTAACTTTGCTTTAATTAACGTCACCATTTGCTCCTCCTTGGCTCTACGAGAAAATTTGTACCGAAGACTTTCTCAATTTAACGTAAGACACCGCATTATACCTTATCAAAGAGATACTGCCTGAGCTACACAAACATCACACATACGGAGGCCTTACAAAGTCGCAAGCTCTTCAGTCACATCAAGTGTACATGTACATGTGTGTGTGTGTGTGTGTGTGTGTGTGGTTAAAATTATAGGTAATATTCATAATTGCTCGGGGATAATCTGACTTGTGTTTAGCCACAAGTATAGTTACCTCCACAGGCTGTAAACTAACAATACAAATTACAGTGAGACACCCATGCACTGTTAACATGAGAAAGGTTGGATATATTTCCCAGAGGATTAAAACAACACGTACCATCAGACTACACAAATATTATGCTTATTTGTAAGTTGGATTTGCTCTCTCAAGTGTAAACTAAACGAAAAATAAAAACACTTGCAATTTTACTGATACAATAACCTTTTTTATCAGTGAACTGCATTATAGTATTTCTTACTTTCTCATCCTCCTTTCAATACAAATTTTCTAGTAGAGTTACATATCATGTCCTCAATCCTCAGGCCATACTAGTGACGGATAATGGTGAAACCACGCATTGTCAGCCGAGTATCATCCGTTGTTTCATCATCATCATCATCATCATCATCATCATCATCATCAACGTTTCACAGCCATTTTCTACGCTTGAGTGGGTTAGCCATGATTACCTGAGGGAAGCTCTCCATGTTGAACGGTCACTTATGAGGTACTTAACTCTACACTACAGCAATGTCATTTATTAAAACATCTCCCCTTTTCATTCTTGATCTACCCCTGGCTCTCTTACCTTCCTCATTTAACTTCATGCATCTCTTGACCTAATTGGTCTCATCGATTCTCTCTACAAACTCAACCACCTTAGTCTACCTCAACGCAAAAATACGCCAATATTCTCAATTCCCAGCTGTCCTCTTAACTCTGAACAGGGCCGCCGTCTTTCAGCGTTACATTGCACGCCCGTCTCACCAATTTTATGTCAGCTCGCTGAAGTCTGCGTATGTCATCCCCTTTAACTGTCCAATCCATGTTTCGCTGCCACACAACGTCTCGCTTCTCACGCCAATTGCATACATTTTTCCTTTCACTCGGCGGGAAGGTCTACTTACCACCAATAAAGGCAGCAGCTCCCGAAACTTCCTCAAGCATTTCTGCCTGTTACAACTGAGCAGCTTCAGCACCCCCACCAGCACTGATCATGTCACACATACTAGAAACATATTTCTAATGTTGAGTTTCTCCAGACTTACTAAGACCACGTGGATGCCTGATTATAGAAAAGCTCTAAAATCAGCAACATCCTGCTGTCTGCCATCTAAGCCACTGCACCTCTTGCATACACACCTACACTCACTGTACATTATTGAGTAGCTGTTAACACCTCACAGATAGTACCCATCTTAATAATTGTACATTTGGATGATTAACTTTCTCGCAATATGACTAGACTGAGGCTTTTGTGTTGTGATAATTTCAGAACAGACAACACAGTGGGCTACTGCGTTTTCTCTCCTCAGCGTAAAACAAAATTTACTGTGTAAAAACAGTAAAGTGAATGCTGCCATGAAAGGTTTTCCACTTTTGTATGATTTGAGGAATTTGTGTTAAAGTATGCGAGGCGTGAGGATGATGAAAGAATGTTTCATGGTATTCTTATAAGCATTATTTAGCGTTATGCTGAGCCAAGATACATTTTATATTTACCATGATATGACCTGGAAGAGAAATACCTTTCATGAAATTTTATACATACAACTAATTGAAATAGATCGCCAGAAAATTGGTATTTAGGTGATGTGGCTACCGAATGCATGAGGTCTAATTGCCAAATAA